GCCTACATCGTCCATATAGGACGACTCGGGAACTCAACTCCTACCCCGGGCAGCTCACCTATCCCCTTATGCCCAGGGGAAAGGTATCAAGCCGTTTGACAGCTGATGCTGGCTGTCAAACCGGCTTTTACGCAAAACAGGCGGGAGGCAGCAAACAGCTGCGACCAGCGAAATCGCCTGCCACCGGAAGTCTCGCTAAGCATCTGAATTTTGATCACATGATCATGGGGATGCTACAAAGAAAACTGTGCATAATCATGCACAAACTGTGATAAATGGTCATAAGTCACTCTTTTCGGTGCCATTGTAACTTTAAACGATCACTAAATGAATTGTTGTAAGTTGAGGGCTACCTGTACAGTATAGCAAGGACCATTTTCCCTAAGAATGGAGTGTTGTTAAAGAACTGAACTCAGTCATTAAGAACAAAAATACCATTTCCAGACAAGGACTGCACTTCCAGACACCTCAAGGGATATAGCACCTGCTTTTTAATGTGAAGTGTCACACTTTTTATGTGCCTCAAATAAAGCACAGGTTTGTTAAGTATGCAAAAAGGAAAAGGCGTTTCTCTAAATTTCATTCCTATCAAGCAGATTGAAATCATTCCAGCATTTCCATTTCTCTGCTTTCTGTATCCAACTGTTTATGCCTGGAGAAAAATTAAGTTCTTTGTTTCATAGGTGGTTACTAAGAGACAAGTGTCTTATCAAATTCAGAGAGGAACCACTCTGATTACTGTGTCCAGTACTGTGGTGTTGAAGTAGCATATATTTAACAAGGAAACCAAATTTCAGTTTAAGATAACTGCAAAGTATTATTCCGATTTCTGTGTTTTTAAAAACCCTAACATTGGGATACAAGAGCAAGGTATTATATTCTGTGCCATATGAAATCTTATTATAATGTTCAGTCTTGTATTCTGTATTGAACTTACATAGCAGGATCTCTGCACTTAAGTCTTTGAGATCATGAAGGAATATATCATGTACCTCTTAAATTCCTGCCTGCAAAATTAGTATAATGCATCAAATTGGGGGATGTATTATGCATTGTAGATGTATTAGCATAATCTCATCAGTGGTACCTCTATCAAATAATTAAGGACACGGCACTTCTTAAAGTTCTTCCTGCACACATTTCTTTTTTCTTTTTTTTACAAATTTTATTGATTTTCTAATATTACATTCACATATTTGAAAAGCAATGTGGCGGCTAGGTAGTAGTAATTCAATTACATACAAATATCATTAGTACAGATTTCAAATTGCCTCCATAAACATTTCCTCTCTTTTTCCCTTTATATATAATGTCTATTTGTAGATTTAAAACAAGTTTTGTTCTATCAATCACATAAAAATAACTTTCTTACATATATCAATAGTTTTAGTTTATATATATTCTAGTTGTTTTAACATACCATCTTTTAGACAATGAATGACCTAATAAATTTTTCCAGTTTTAATTTCCACTAACATTTAAATTTAACGTTTAAAATTTATCATTCTCAAGGTTTTTAATATACCTCCAATTCCTCTATCACCATTCCTCATAAAATCTAATATTCAAAATACACATCTTATCTATTTAACTTCTCACCCTCTATATCAACAAATTTATAATACAATATAATATCCTTCCTTTCTGCTAGTTTTTGATTTTTTAAGTAATAATATAATTTCTTTTTATTTCAGTATTTAATGCTTCCTCTCTCTTCCTCTTTGTGTCTGCTATCTCATGCTTAAACTAATAAATTTTGTTATTGATGTTTCATATAGGCCTGTTTATTACTTTCATCAATAAGTTTTTAGCTTATCTACATCCTATTCACCTTTACATAACTTTTATACACAAATCGAAATTCAAATTTAGCTATTAGTATTTATACTGCTAAGTTTTAATGACCAAAAACTTTTCTTATGTTCAACATGCACATCTTATCTATTTAAGTATATTCTGTTTTAATTTTCGATAAGATGGTCGAAATTCCATTCTTCTTCAATCTTATTCTAGCTTTTTTTCCTTTGCCAAATCGTCTTCCATGTCCTGGTTTTTGGGTCATCAAGCCAATCTTCTTGTAATGTCCTATATATTATTTGATGTTGGCGAATTCGTCTGGTCACCATTTTTTTGAGAGGACTTGTAGATCTGGTGGGTCGTCTCTTTATTCTTCCGTATCGACGTGGTTGTTCTGAGTTGTTTATCTTCTCATCCAACTGTTCTTTTTCTGGATCCTCCAATTCCTTCTGATTTATATAGGAAACTTTTTCCTTTTTCCAAGTTGTCGGTGTCTTTTCTGGATTTTCAAATGTCAATATTTGTTGAGTAGTTGATTCTTCTATCATGGTATTTGAATCTTTCATTTTTTTCTATTATATTTTGTATAGATGATTCTTTAGTTGTGGCCAAAATTTGGGCTTTCATATCTGGGCTGTCTTTTTGTTCCTTCCCATAGCTTCTTAATTTTTCATTGGCTGTGGTGAGAGTTTGAATTATTGTTTCCAACATAGAGAGAATTTGTTGATCTTTATCCATAAGGAGATTTTGTTCCTGATCCTCTTCCATATTGGTATTTTAAAGTAAAGGCTTTACAATTAGGAAGTCCAAAAGAAAGGAAAAGGTTTTTTGGGGGGGTAAGGAACACAAAGCCTTTCACAGCTGTTGCTTCAAAATTTTCAAGGTTATGTGTCTTATCTATTTCTCTGGGCTATCAGCCAAGCCCCTGAAAAATAACAGATTAAAATACCAAGTTTGACCACATGGTGTCACCTCTACCTTTTAAAGTTTCCCTTTGAGTCCCAGAGTTATTTTAATCTTTTCAGCTTTTCTTCTTATTTATAAGGAAAAAAACCCCAGATTTTCAACAGGAATAAATAAAGAAAAATAAAAAGTAAAAAAAATCTTTCAATCCATAAGCTTTAAGAAATAAAGTTCCAATTGGGATCCAATTATTTTTTCAATGTTTTCAAAAAAAGCTCCCCTGTATATTCGATCACAGCTGTTTCTAGAGGGAGGGCTAAGATCCCCCTTCCCTCTCCACAGGGGGGAAAGTACTTTAGCAGCTTAAATAGGTACAAAAGAGCAATTAGGATGTAAGAAAGGCATATCTCACCCAGTCCTTTCCACACTGCTTTGAAGTTGCCAAATGGTAAGTGTGGCTTCGGCTGTCTGCAGCCTAGGGACGAGCCATATTTCAATGGCCAGTCCTTTCGTCCACCGGTTTGGAGGGATCGCCAGGTCTAACGGGAGAGTTGTGGCTCTCCCGCGATCCAGCAAACGCCCCTCCTTGCTGGTCACCTCTTCGGGGTGACTTTCGGCCCTTTTCAGCCCCCCCCCCAGCGATGTGAAACTGGACGGGGGAGAGAGAGGAAGTCTCTTTGTCTACTTCAGTTGTCACATAACTTTGTTCTCTGTTAATACTTGCCAGAAATCATTCCCATAGCTTAAGGTCGTGCCTGGTCTAAATCTGGTTCTGAATAAATGGGTTTTTGTTAAATTCTGAACTTCTGATTCTTTTTGTGTTGGGAATGGGGAAAAGAAAACAAATATAGAAAAACGGATCAGTTGAGTAGGCCTAATTATGCTAACCATTAATGTGTTTAGTTAAAAGCTAAGTATATGCTACATAGGGTCTTGATTATACATAGAGGCAGTTACTTATAATTTTTGCCATTTAGAATCTTCTACTGCAGGGGTGTCAAACTCGCAATGTCATGTGATGTGTCACGACGTATTGTGACTTTTTTGCCATTGCCGGCAATGGGCTGGGCACGGTTTCGCTATGATGCATCCAGCCCACGGGCCAGCAGTTTGACACCCCTGTTCTACTGCTTTTGCTTCCTAGGGCTGATGGAGCTCCAGTGATGCACATGGATGCATTGGTAATTCTCATACATATATGGTTATAAGTTAAGGAAGCTATCTCATAGCTCCATTTTATAAAGCCATATATGCAAGTAACCATGAACTTCTGATTCCATTTATAGTGCAAACTTCAATATAGCTTTTCTAAGCTTACCACAAAAAATGGCACTTAATCTGCATCTGGGAATATCAGCTAATTGAACACAGGAGCATTAAAGTCTGTAGGCAGGGAAAGAGCAGGAAGTAGCATGCTGAGAGAATGGTTAACAGGCACCAAGGGACGGAACACACAGCAGGAGCATATGGCCTTTTTTATTACAAGCATATCTATTGGGGGATACTATCTATTTAATATGATAAAGGAAGTCATAAAAACATAGTGTAAACCTGGACTGAGTTTTCATACTATCCTTTAAACCTAAGGGGAAAAAAACATGAAAATAGTATTTATCTTCACCCATTTTAAATGCTCTTAGTGGTCAAAAGTTTGCCCACTTGTGCCCTACAACATCATTCTTTAGATCCAGTTGTCTCTGAAACAATACCCTTCATGAGTTTATATATTTTCTGTGTTGTTGTAGAATTAATCCATACTAAAGGGGAAAAAAACAAAACAGTAAGGACATGAATTCCTGCTGGCTCATGCTTGTGGATCTTTTCAGAAAAATTACACAGATAATAGTTAGAAAGTAGTGGATATAAAGATACTCTTAAAATATTATTAAAAGATTGCATTAATAATTTATTAAATCTATACACCCCCCTCCCCAACTCTCAGCAACTTTATCCTAAATGTATGTATTTTATGCTTTTGGTTTATTCATCCTGTTTATATCAATTCAAAGCTTCAATGTTCTGGAATGTCTACTGAGAAATATTTCTTTAATATTCATTGTTTCTTAATGTAAATTGTCAGATGTATAATGTTTCTTGGATCGATGAAACTGATAGTCTTAATCAGTCTGTTGCATGCATACATTTTATTAAATTATAAAACATTTTTGTGGAAATCACACTATTGTCTTTTATGTATTCTGCTTCATATAGTATAATCAGAATTATTGCATCACTTGTCTCAGAAGACTAATGAGGTTAAACTAGTGGAAAATTTTCTAAGAAATCAAGTAGGAAAAGAGGAAGCCTACAGGAAAGGAAATAGAATGCTGTACGATCAGGCCAGAATTGTATTAACAAGGGAGATCAGAGCAGCAAAAAGAAGCTACTCTGAAAACTAAGGAATCAGCTCTCAACAAACAAACCAGCAAATGTGTGGAAAACTCTTAAAAATATCACTGGCTACAGCAAACCTCCTCTCCATGCTGAAGAGAATTGACAACTGGCAGATGATCTGAATGTGTTTTACTGTAGTTTTGAGAGGAAACCACTGTCAACTATCACCACCATCTCCATCTCAGATACACCAACAACAGCCAAGCCTCCTACAACTGACCCTATCCCTTTGGGACCCCCACCTTGGGTGATTACAGAAAAAGATGTGGGAGATCTATTTCACAGACAAAAGCCTTGAAAAACACCAGGTCCAGACAAGGTAACTCCTTCTTGCTTGAAAGCATGTGCTTACAAACTGGTCCTCATCTTCACCTGCATCTTTGTGTTAAAGAGATGTGTTAAGTTCCTTCTTGCTTCAAATGCTCTACT